GGGGGGGGGAGGGGAGGGTTCCAAGGGTCAATAAGATTATTATGCTTACTCTAATGTTCACTTGAAGCTTTCAGAGATGATGACTGAAAATATTAATGAGCAAAAGCTTTAGTGCCAATTTCAGGCGAATTTTATGTGATGGCTGGAGTATACAACATTGTATCGCAATACCCAGTTAACCTTGAAGGATGTCAAGTTAATCTACTACTGTGAAATTTATCGCAATTTTCAGACAAAGCTAATTGAGGGCATGTTCGACGAGAAGAAATGCTATCGAAGGCTTTGGGAAGAAGGTGAAGCCGCAGAAGCTGGTCTGCAAGATTCCAGTAAGCAGAAGACAAACTGAAGCCATATCAGCACAATATTAGCTCTATTCATCATGTACTAATCGCGAAGACGTATGTTACATACTTTTCAGTAAGTATCAACAAATACAGCGAAGTATCAGCGATAACTTGGTGGAACATCTCGTAGCAGAACATAAAATTCACTGCGAAATTTCACGGTTTAGCGAATTAGTCATCATTTTGTAAAAAACCAGCACAGTTTATTGAAACAGTTTTATGTTTCTGAAACTGGATTTTGCATGTTTTTATAAATGTACCCAATTTACAAATCCTGCCCCATTTCGATTTTAAGTGCCGTTTAAACGTCGCAGTGCGTTATGTCATATTATAGGGCGAAAGACCATTTTTTGTTCTTTTTAACTCATATCTGCCAAAAATCGTTTGCAGCCTCCCAGCAGAGAGATTTCAATTCTAATCTGTCAAACTTCTTTGTCATAGCTAAATTACTGCTTCGTCGTTTTTCTGCTCTGGTTCCGCCTTCCTACATCGTAAAGGTCAAGCATAGCTGTAACCGAGTCAAGCGGGGTACCGTCTTGGGGCAAGAAAACAAAGGAGATATGGTTTTTGTGGGGGGGGGGGGGGGAGGGGAGCTCCAAGGAAAATTGCAGAAAACTTCATCAAAGAATTATATGCTCGTAAAGCGCGGGAATTCAAAATCGCGCTCCAAACAAAAAAAGCCTTGTTTACGACCATACACTATGTATGGCGCAAATTCGGTGGGTAGATGCGCATGAGAGAGCTCGAATTAAAATTTTGAGGACTTATGCGGATCAAAGCTGTACCCAACTTTCTTTTCCCAATCAGCTGGAACTTTCCAGCTTTGCACCTCAGCTGGTAGCTCAGCTGAACTAGCTCCTTCCTTTGCTCACAATTTTTCCTGCTTCGACACATGAGAAAGCAATAAACGAGCAAAAGCTTTCAGATAACAAAATTCAACTTATGTTGCTGCTTATGGCACACAGAAGAAGATAAGGAAAGATGGATATGGTAAGAGTTTTGACGATAAACTGGACTGACTGAGACGGACTCTCACTGGAGGTCGAACGTGGAACCCGAATTGCAGATCCTGTGTAAAACTTCAGCCCGCTCATAGATGTTTATCGAAGCTTTTTTAATGAGTATGAAAGCATAGACAACATTCGCATTGATACTGAGTAAAAAAGAGTCTCACCAAAGGAAAAAAGGCTATCAACTTAGGCGCCGCAATAAAAGTGCGTGACGTCAGACATGCACTCCGAAAACTTTCTTGAGGTGGCCCCAAGAATTTTTATGCGCCCAACGTGAAGGCAGCGCCTACATATAAGCAGTATTCAGGGCTCGGCACGAGGTAACTTTCTGAAACCACGAAAAACGAAGTCCTCCTTCACTTTTGCAAAATTTTACGCAGTTCCGTTTGACCCTACACTCCAAACCTAAAACCTCAAAAAAAAAATGACACGCCACTAAAGAAACGTAAAAGCTGTGTTTTTCGTCCATAAAAACGATATCCCTTTTGCTTTTTGTCCCAAAAAACGAAATCCAGCTTGCTCATAAGGCTATTTATCCTAAAATCTTGTAGATCAGTCTGTTTATTTTGATACTTGTGAGTTTTTACTTCAATGTAGAGTTTCTGCAAACCTGCAAGAGCAAGGACTATGTCGTTCGACTTTTGAAGAGCTCTTTTAAATGACTTGAGATTATTGGACAGACCTCATTTTTTGTAAAAAAAAATTGTTTTGATTGCCGCTCCAACAGTCGCCAACCTGCTGAAGCAGCCCAGAGTTTCTCTGTCATTTTAAGCAGTAAGGGCAGGTTTATGAAACCACAAAATTCCAATGTTGAAAATAGATCTCCTAGCAGACTTATATGACGAATATATCTGTATAAGAATTTGAGTGAACGATGAACGATTCCTAATAGAAGAGGAATCAAGTGGAAAGCAGAAGAAAAACAGGATTACAAAAATACTCTTTTAGTTTTACATGGAAGGCTAAGAATACTACATATCGAAGTGCAATTCAAAATAATTTGCACTTTACACATTAGGAAATGTTAGACCTGATCAAGTTCAGATAGGTCACACATCAATTCTAATCAGTGTCATTTACTTTCACAAAAATTGTTACCCTAATACTTCACGAGTACAAGACGCTCTTTATTTGTTTCTTAGGGACCCGTCATACTTCGCCGAAAGAGCCCAAAAAAGCTTAAAAAAGCTCCAAAAAGCCCGAAAGAGCCGGAACGCCACTTCCGTTTTGACGCTAAGGCATCTGTGTTGGTTTCGCAAGCGAGCCTTTTTGCTTCATTTTTTGTCATCTGCACTTCAAAATAATGTCAGAATTCTACAAAATTCGTTTCTGCGTTCCGGCTCTTTTGGATTTTTTCCGGCTTTTTTGGGCTTTTTCCGGCTTTTTTGGGCTTTTTCGGGCTTCTTTGAGCGCTTTTGGGCCTTTCTCGGCGAAGTATGACGGGTCCCTTAAAGGCAGTGTCCAAGCAAAAAGTCGATTTTGAGATTTTGTGCTTACCCGGGCCTATTCGCCCTGCTGAATCCGATGAACCACATTGGAGAGCGCGAAAACGCCAGAAAAAGCCCTAAAGCAGGAGGGAAATCGCAGGTGGGCGGGGCTGTTCACACCGTGACGTCACTCTCCCAGGCTTTAGGAGCCATCTTCTCGATTCCGATTTTATGTCATGCGTTTCGCAGTTGGCTGGTGGTAGGGCGACTAGCACAAGCGAGAAGATCGCTCCTGAAGCTGGAAGAGTGACGTCACTATGTGAACAGCCCCGCCCTCCTGCAATTTCCCTCCTCCGTTAGAGCCCCTTTTAGCCGTTTTCGCGCTCTCGTTGATTTTCAGATTCAGCATGGCGAATAGGTCCAGGTGAGCACAAAATCTCGAAATCGATTTTTTGCTTGGACACTGCCTTTAAGAAAGCTCGGCCGAACCACTGTGCCTCGCATAGCTCTCCCACACAATTCTTTCAGGTAAGGAGCAGCACGGTGAAAAAGTCCTTTAATCGCGAAAAATTTTGTTTTGTTCAGGCTGGTCGATTCTAGAAAAAAGAAGTGCGTCCTGCACTCGTTCAAATTAGATTACAATAAACTGTCACATCAATTGTTACAGTAATGATCGAATCAAGACTTCTTGAATAGTGAATTTTGAGGTGCATGTGCGGACCTGTTCCGAATGAAAGGGATTACTGAATTCTTGTCAAAAAATAAGTGAACAAATAACAAAAGTTTGCTACCACTGCTTTTTTTCTTTCTGGTTGAGTTCTAAAATGAACTGTGTGCTGTAAAATGCAAAGGTCTTCCGGACCACTTTCGATGGCTACCAATAAACACCGATTTTTACCCATTTTTCTTCTTTTCGACTGCTTTCAACACCTTTTTCAAAAAATCTTATCCAAAGGACGAGAAGAACCATCCCTACGACACATTTGAGTGGTAACCGCTTAACCGCTTCAAGAATGAGATTTTGACAGAAATCGGTCTTTTGCTTAAAGAGAACTTTCTTGAGGTGTGCTCAGTAAGAAGATGGAGTTGCTTTAGTTAATTTGGAAGTTAGTAGAAGTAAAAAATAAGAAATTACTCTTAAGCGTTATAAATCTTATCATTGCCTTGTAAAAATATTATTAAAAAAACGAAGATTGTAAATCTCCACAAAAATTTCAAAATTCTACAGGGTGCGGCAAAAGTCTGGGAGCCTAGTACTTTTTCGTACAAAACAAGAAGGGAAGTACCAAGAAACGAAAAACTTGGCGAACGCATAATTCGAACCACTCCAGATACGGCTCAGTTCTTGAATTTCAAAATTGCCTCTTTTGGCTTCCACGCGGCCCTACAAAATCTTAGCAAGTCCACTTGTCGTGGCATGCAGATAGTCGTAATGAAATTCGCCCCACGCCGTCACAATAACTACTTCTCTTACCTCGGCAAATGTGCAGCATGATAGAGCAAGCTTTTGTCTACGACATAATTCCTACAGCTTTTTTTGCATTGCTTAGAAATAAAATAATTGGATTTTTAATTAGAAGTTTGTGTACGTCGCATGTCGGAATTTGGCTACAAGTGCGCGAAAAAAAGCGGAAAATCGTCATTTAAAAAGTATAAAAAATGTCCCCTTGACCTAATTTCAATAGACTCTAATTTAGAAGACGTATGCAAAAAATACAGCCTTGGTCCCAGTGCCCGTTGAGCATTCTATGGCTTTTAAATCTGTTCTGAAGACGGATTTCCACTGGCACGTAGAATTCGCAAACTTTTATTTTCCGTTCATGCAAGAACAGCTCCTGGCAAAAGCAAAACTAGGATACAATAGCGCAAAGTCTCTTCTATGTTGTGTGCATTGAAGTTTTGTAAAATATTAACAGCATCTCTAGTTACAGCAAAAATTGTAAATACCAAAAATTCTGGTTTTTTCGCTTTACAAAAGTACTAGTTTGCTAGTTTATATTCTTACAAAAACATATGGCAGCCATTCCCAGCCAAATAAAGTGTATTCTGTAGAGGATGACCGCAGCATCATGTGGCATAAAATTGAAATCAAAACTATCAGTATCTTTGTAATTGCAGTACTGCAAAGTTAGGCTCCCAGACTTTTGCCGCACCCTGTAGTTACCGTTCATATCTTTCAGTGCAAGATCTCAGAATTTACGCTATATATGTCAACGTACTTGAGTTTGTTGAGATAAATTGGCCTATTGTGCAATGGCTGAACTTCTCTCCAAGAATGTAAAAGTTCTTGTCGTTCGGCAGATATGTGACTGCGTAGGAAGTCTAGCTGAAATTACAATTTGGATGATGGAGGGCTGAAAAAAAAGGATCTGATTAGTCATAGTACCTGCTGCTCTGAGATATAGCTTGGCTCGGCTAAAATGGTCCATATGACTCCTTCAGTGCATGGTGGTGTTGTGAGGGAACCTTTGAAAGTAATTTTCATTTAGAAAATGTGCTTGAAACTTGGGAGCCGAAAAAATGAGTCCTAGTCCAATGTGCCTCAAAAACAGGTTGCCTTGTCATTGAAAAAACAAATCTCCAATTTATTAGCGCAAAAGTAACATTTTTGCCACAACCATACGTACCTATTTATCAGTGGCGATTCAAAAAAAAATTTTCTCGGAGGAAGTGCGACAGATATTTTTATGAATGAGCCTAAACAACCATCAGCCACGTATTCGAAAAAAGTTTTTAGGATGTTTGTCGAATTCGTGGATCTATGACCCGAAAATTCAGCAAGAAGGGGCTCGGAGATTGTGCCCAAAAAACTATTCTATTAGGTTGGTCCGAAAGTTCTGTCCCACCATTTTCAAAGAATCGTAACTTCTTCCTAACACAATGTTTTTGCAAGAGTAAAACCACATAGAAAACAGCAACTCATGCACTTTCTAAAACTACCTTGGCTGCTCTCTACTAAGCTCTGAATGCAGAGAAAAAATTGGAAAAAGGAAATCACTTCAATTTCGGAATTTTTAAGCAAGCCTGTTGAAAAATCCAAAACTGTGCCATAAAACCCAAAACAGGCAGTATCCTAGGTTTTTTAATCCCCTCTTTCCAGCTGAGCAAGATTCGCGCTGATCGAGCCTTTTTGAAAGAAGTTATGATTTTCAAGAAAAAATGCAAAAAAATCAGTTTCTTAAGAAAATTGATTTTTTGACATTTTTTTCAAAAAATCGTAACTTTTCGAAAAACAGCTAGATCAGCGTGAACTTTGCTCAGCCAGAAAGAGGGGGTAAAATAGTCTAGGATACTGGCTGTTTTGGATTTTATGGCACAGTTCTAGATTTTTTAACGAGCTTGCTTAAAAATTCCGAACTCGAAGTGATTTCGTTTTCCCAATTTTATCTCTGCTTTCAGAGCTTAGTAGAGAGCAGCCAAGGTAGTTTTAGAAAGTGCATGAGTTGCTGTTTTCTATGTGGTTTTACTCTTGCAAAAACATTGTGATAGGAAGAAGTTACGATTTTTTGAAAATGGTGGGACAGAACTTTCGGACCAACCTAATACAACGCTAATTTGAGTTTTCCAAAAACTTGAGGGATTTTTCTAATTGTTTACAAGTAAAAACAAGTCTCTTGCACAATTTTCTGACTTATACAGATCACTTAAAAATACTTCGCCATCCATTCCCGCCATTCCCCCCCCCCTCTACGCCAGCACCCCTTTGATTCTCTACTCACCTTCATAGCGAAAAAATGTTGATGTGTCTCTTGGTAGAAATCCTTGTGGAATATATTCCACAGAACCACTCTGAGTACCTAAACGCGGTCAAGCAAAAATAAGTATAATTTGGGTGGAATAACTAGGTTCCCAAAATTGTAAAAATTGATTTTAACATGTAAAAATTGATTTCAATCATGTAAAACTAGCCACAAATGCTGATCCATACTCGTATTAAATTATCGTTTTCCCAGTATGAGCAATATTCGCTTCGGCGCCTGGTAATATCTGTTGTTTAAAAACGAGGAAGCCTAATCCAAAAAATGCTAAACACGCCTTCAAAAATTCATTTATAGGCATCCCATAGAAATCAAATTTGAAATCATTTAGTCAACCATGGAGAAGAAAACATTCAAAATTCTTTTCTCCATGGTTAAAAACAATTTTTAGACTGCTTTATCTTATAGACTGCTGCAAATCAATCTCAAATATTACGGCCCCACACCCTCTCATTTGCCGCATGACCACACTTGAATAAATTTCTTTGAAATGAATAAGAAGAGGAAAACGACAAGAGAGCTTGCAGCACAGTAACGACAACAAAATATTTCTGCAAAAGAAGAGATTTTGAACCAACTTCTGATATTGGTACTGTCGAAAGCTTTCTCTAAATCTGTCAATGGTTGTCCTTTGGTTGCTGGTTGTAGAAAAACCGCAACCTAAAACGAGTTCTCAAAAAAAATTTTGATGAATGCAATCGTTGATAAATCTTTTCAATGATAGAATCAGCGATAAATTTAGATATCCACCACTGCAATAGTTTCAGGATTTTCCAAAGCCGTTGTCGCGTTGTAACCTTCCAGAATGTGCACAAAGTGAATCTAAAAGCCGCTTGAAAATTGTTTGCAGAATTGTACTGCCAGGAAGTTTTCTGCAGAATGTGGTGTGCTTGCGGTGCAGGACTGGCACCAAATTTGCGCGTGAATAAATGCTACGTCTACAATGCCGGTCACTTGCGCGCGCAAATTGCCGGCACTACTGGCTTGGCATTTGTTTACGCGCAAAATTTGTTGCCCAATCTCGGCACCGTAAGCACACTTCATTAAGCGAAAATCTACTAGGCTATACCTATTTGATATGTACCTCTACAGGATAATGTAATCTCGCAACAGTGTGTTCGCTACCCGAGCTGTCGTCTTCACCCCAATGGAAATGAAATTGTTGCAAGTAATATTTTCCCATAAGACCACCACCTAAAATCCATCATTATATCTGAAGATAACTTGCTATAACTGCCTGTTATATATGGCCGTTCCCCATTCCGGAAATTCTGCGCCAGTTCTCAAAAACACTCACTATGCATCAAATAAAGGATTGATATGAAAACTTACCAGGTTGACCATATTTGTGAGAAGTGATGTAACCCGGAGCATCATAATGGTGAAAGTGTAGAGGTGGCCACCGCATGACTATAGCTTTTCCTGAATTTGTAAATGGTAATGTGAGGTTATGACAAAAGGTGCAAGTAAAAGCTCAAAAAATTTTCCAGTCGTCACCACAAGCTATCGTATAAAAACCTCAGCCTGATAAACATGATGTCTCCGATTTTGTTGCTTATTTCCTTTCCCACAGAAACTTCAGAACAGGTGAATACACAGATTCAGATTAGGAGAATATTGCGTACCTCTCAATTTCCCACAAAAGAAACCGGATTTAACGTCCTTATAATTTACCAGTGCGTCACCTCTGCTTCGCAGAGGCTCGCACTGGCCCTACTTTCTGTATGCCTTCTCATTCCCGCATGATAATGACATTGAAACTCACCGCGCTATGCAGGCTATCACGAATGATTTGTAAACAACTACTCATTCCGAGAGCTTTTTTGTTTGAGATCGGTATTTTCGCTTGGATGAAACTTTTCCGAGAAGAATTAATGCAAATTTGAATCGGTTTTCGGATTTTTTATAGCTTGGTAGTCGCCATAACAACGATGATCACCGGGAGTTACATCTCTGTGCAAAAATCTTCTCAAATGATCAGGTATAATCTTGGCAAATTGACCTTTTACGCCACTAATATTTTTCGGCGCCATTTTCGTGAAATAATCAACTTAAGCTCAATTTTTTGGGCTTAAGTCCATGGCTTGCACATTAGCTTGTTAATCAAATCCATGACTTCGCAAAAAGTGGTGGTGAAGGCACAATTTTGGTGGCCAGAAGGCAAGTGGATCCGTTTGAAGCGCAGTTTCTGGGAGATCCACTCAACGGATCCGCTCGTGCTTTTGCATAGTGGACTTTCATGCTGCTAGCACGCGCTATGCAAAATTTGGGCTTCGGACGTTGGCTGGAACACGTTCCTCGAATTTCGTAACGGACAGACAGACACACACACAAAAAAACGTAAACACCCTTAGCCCGTTATTATAAGTTACCAGTGCGTCACCTCTGCTTCGCAGAGGTTCGCACTGGCTCTACTATCTAGGTGCCTTGCTCATTCTCGTAAAATCGTGGCACTGGAACTCACCGCGCTATGCCGACTACCACGAATAAATTGTAAACAACCACTCATTTAGAAAGTCTTTTCACGTGAGATCGGTGATTTCGAGTGGATGAAACTTTTTGCAGGAAGACAAACGCAAATTTGAATAGGTTTTTGGATTTGTCATGGCTTGGTAGTCGCCATAAAGGTAATAGTAGCCGTGAGCTACATCTCTGTGCGAAAATCTTCTCAAACGCTTAGCTAGAACCTTGGCAAGTTGACCATTTACACAACCAATTCATTTTGGCGCCGTTTTCGTTATGTAGTAAACTTTCGAACACTTTTCCGGCTAAACTCCATCGCTTGCACATTTGCTTACCAAACTCATCCACGACTCTGCAAAAAGTGGTGATACGGACCAAATTTTGCGGTACAGAAGCCAGGTGGACCCGTTTAGCGCGCAATTTCTGAGGGATCACCTCAACGAATCTGCTCGTGATTTTGCGTATTGGACTTTTATGCGGGTAGCATGCTCTGTGCAAAATTTGAGCCCAGGAGGTTGGCTGGAACACGCTCCACGAATTTCGTAACAGACACACAAACACACACACAAAGTCACACAAACACCCTTAGCCCGTTATTATAAGTCATGTTATGATTATTTCCTTCGTTGGAATCACGTCATGCACAGAGGCACAAGTGGTTACGTTGAAAGCGATAAAAATGTACAGACAGATAAGGCGTTTGATTATAAGGACTATTCACAAGAATTAGCAAAGATCTTTGGGCAGATACCTACATAGAGTTCAAAAAAATGTCTGCACTGAGACCTGAGCGATGGGAAGATTGACTTACGGAAGATGTGGTAGCACCACTCATACAAGGCGGTTGTACATTTTGTACCACCGTACCCAGATACTGTATCCACCGTACGAGCCAATCGCGCTCTACAGGGCTGATACGCGGTCCGCCCTCAAATAGCGCTTTTCACGTCGAGAAGCGGGTTGTTAATATCTTTTGAAGCTGCAAAGCACAGTCTTGGACTTAGCTCATCAAGGGGAACCGAGAATGATGAATATCCCAAAGCTGTCATTCTGCCGAGCCGCTGCCTTTAATGTGAGCTAGCTCACTTTCGAGTTACGGTCATGGCGCAGGCGCGGAGGGTTTGGGGAAGGATTTATCAACCTTGAATGAATCATTTGCGCTGCCGCTCGGGTAGTGCTTTAGTCAGGACCCTTTCATCAGCTTCTAGGGGAAAAACCCATGTGTCCCAATTTGCCTGGAGACTGCCTTTAAATTGTCTTCTGGTCAGAAAGAAGAATCCGCATGGAGAAGGGTCTTCCGTGGCTCTGAACGGAGAGTCGTTATGGGACCATGGTCATAGCATACGATGCTCGCTCTAGTTTGCAGTCTGAAATCGTTAGCTGGGAAGCGCTAGGGCCGAAGGCGGGGTCGGAGCCCTTTCAAGGCTTCGTGGGCCCAGTTTTTCGCCCCGACAGTTTTCGCTCAGTAAAGGGGCCTAGTTTTACAAAGCTGCGAAAGTCCGGCAACCAATTTGCAAGGGGGAAGGAAAAAACTATGAGACGCCAAAAGACAAGTTTCCCAGTCGCCACCCCGCAAATGGTACTGAACCCAATCTCTCATCTCACATGTCATGCTTCGATTAGCATCTCAAGTTGGGCACATGTTAGAAAAACGGACCTCGCCATTTCTCAGTCTTGGTAGTCTGAAGGCCAGACACCTTTCCACGTGTTTGATCAAAGACATGACGCAATTACTGAGGACAACTGTGCCGGTTGCTTCCGGTTGTCGCACCTCCTACAAAGACCCACCCTCCCCCCCCCCCTCAAATACTAAGCACCCTATAATGTACTGACTGAGATCCTCTTATTTGTATCTACGGTTAAGTATAAGTTACACCCTATCTGCTGCTTGAAGGCACCATCCACCCAGATTCTCGACTTCCATGTCTTGGTAGTTTCGACGCCTTCTCGTGTTCCTGATTCCGATTATCAAGTCGAGAATCTGCGAACCAAGACAATCCTCGTTTCGGAGAAGCCCCAGGCCTGTTCTCCGCAAAGTGAATGGTTGGACGCACACAGAGGGGCGGGCATTACTGGAAGTGGGAGGTGCCAACTTGGGGTCTCATGCCTCTCCGTTATCCCAAGCTTCCAAAGCGACATTTTGCGACGCGACTTGGGCATTGATTGGGTAGGGGTTCCGCTATCGTAAGCTGCCGAAAGTTTAAGATCCCTAAGTTAGGATGGACGGCGCCTCTAAGGTAACCATAAATTTCGAATGAGTGTACCCAGTTTGAGGTCACTCAATATGCGCGTATAGCTTCACCCACCTATGTCTAAGTCGATTGGAGACTGCCTCTTTCCATTTATACACAAGGCATTGATGCTATGCGGATGGTAGCTTTGTAACGTTTCTCCCACGACTTTCCCTGCCATTAACCACCAGAAAGAGTATAGAAACCATAGGTGAGTCATTTCACGAGTAAGGTTTCCTGAATGCGAAGGATCAATAAAGCTCATTTTCAAAAATTACTTTTTGCCCGAGAAAAACTGTGAAATGAACACAAGGTCCTCACTTGGCTAGAACGACCGCACAAGAAACACAATGTCACAAAACTAATTGACCATGATCGCTGATGCTTTTGCAAAATGATCAAAGCAAGCTATCATTTTGTGTTCTCAAGTTCTGTGGCCGTATTCATCATTGATATCTTGAGGTAAATTCTACCTCCAGGTAGTTCTATCACTCATTATCAGCAAACCAGTGCGTCACCTCTGCTTCGCAGAGGCTCGCACTGGCTCTGCTATCTCGGCCCTACTCATTCTCGTATAATGATGGCATTGGAACTCACCGAGCAATGCCGACTATCACGAACAAAATGTAAACAACTACTCATTCCGAAAGCTTTTTTATGGGAAATCGGTGATTTCGCGTGGATGAGACTTTTTGCAGGAAAACAAATGCAAATTTTTACAGGTTTTTGATTTTCTCATGGCCTTTACAGTTGCAATAGGAACAGCAGTCACCGTGAGCTACAACTTTGTGCAAAATTTTCGTCAAATGGTCTGGTAAAACGTTGGCAAATTGACCATTTACGCAATTAATACTTTTTGGCGCCGTTTTTGTAAAGTAATGGACTTTTGATCACTTCTTTGAGCCTAAGTTCATGGCTTGCCAATTTACTTGGCACAAACATCCACGACTCTGAAAAAAGTGGAATTACGGACCCAATTTTGCGGTCCAAATGCAAAGTGGATCCGTTTGACACGCAGTTTCTGAGGGATCCACTCAACGAACTGCCCGTGCTTTTGCATGTTGGACTTTCCTGCGGGTAGCATGCGCTGTGCAAAATTTGAGCCCAGGAGGTTGTCTGGAACACTCTCTACGAATTTCGTAACAGACACACTCACACACACACACACACACACACACACACACACACACACACACACACACACACACACACACACACACACACACACACACACACACACACACACACACACACACACACACACACACACACACACACACACACACACACACACACACACACACACACACACACACACACACACACACACACACACACACACACACACACACACACACACACACACACACACACACACACACACACACACACACACACACACACACACACACACACACACACACACACACACACACACACACACACACACACACACACACACACACACACACACACACACACACACACACACACACACACACACACACACACACACACACACACACACACACACACACACACACACACACACACACACACACACACACACACACACACACACACACACACACACACACACACACACACACACACACACACACACACACACACACACACACACACACACACACACACACACACACACACACACACACACACACACACACACACACACACACACACACACACACACACACACACACACACACACACACACACACACACACACACACACACACACACACACACACACACACACACACACACACACACACACACAGACACACACACAAAGTCACGTAAACATCCTTAGCCCGTTATTATAAGTAATGATACCCGTATTCACAAAACTACCTTGAAATAAATTCTCAAGGTAAATTTTACCTTGAGGATTTACCTCAAGGTGTTTAGTATCGAATGGAAAGTACCTAGAGGTAAATTCTACCTCAAGGTACTTTCCATTATCACTTAAAATCCGTTTTCATCAAAATCCGTTTTCATCAAAAGGACTGCATTTACCTTCAGGTAAATTCTTAATGCAACTTCTAACCCTAGCTGGAGGCAAGGTTAGAAGGATACCTTTAGAGATCTATAGACTTTCGGAAGCTGGTTTTTTGCATGAGTAATGCAGTAACGTGAATTAGGTCACTGTGGCAATTTTGCGAAATTGGGTTAAGCGAACTTAAGACAAAATTTCAGTCTATATTCTCAAAAACTTTATACATTTTGAAAAACGCGTGAATGGATGTAGTCATAGGAGTTATTCAGGAGTTATTCTCTTTCACAGCATCTTGAACACACTAGCTGTGCTTAATCATAAAGTCGAAGTTGCTTGATGAAACTACTTTGAAAACATCTTCAGAATTATTAGACATTACCAAATGGTGACGTGTGCTGCAACGTAACCCTCGATCCCATTTCCTGACTGGTCATATCGGTTTTCAAAGGATGATTTCACCAAATTGTTTGTATCTCTAATACAAACCGTTTCGCACGTTAGCAGAAAGAAAGAGCTAGCTGTTGAGTGCAAAAAATAGACAAATGTTTCTGGTTGAGCAGGAAAATTTTTATCTCAACTCTTCATTTACTCACAACGCACACATGTGGGTTTGACATTTATAGCTAACGTTTATAGCTCATTTGAGCAAAAAAATATTCCCTAAACCCCGAAAGTGACCCATTAGGGAACCGTCTGTACATACTTTCAATGATGATGATTTTGAAGCTTTGGAAGTCAAAACTTCACTACTTTTGGAATAATCGGGCCTATGTGAACTAGAAAGAACTCAGAACGAGGCAAAAAACATTTGGCGGAATTTTGCGCGCTATAGAAATTCGCTAAGTACTTGAAAAAACATTATCGGTAAAAACCTCATCAAATAAGGCAGGTTTTAACTCAAGCCTAAAGTGACTATGAAAAAAACTACTTTGACAACTTGGAAGCTTTTGTTAAGACTACCCTCTTGATAACTGTGCAAGAAGAACTTTTTCCAGAAAGGTAGGTTCCATTGTTGTAGAAACAATATCACGAATTTAAAATCCGATTTGACTAGAAGCAATCAACTTCTTGTTGTTAGATAAACCCCCTTTGGGCTCGAAATAGTCGCTTAGACTGTACAGCCTCAAATTCATTGACTGTAAAACTCTGAAACCGATATTGAAAATATCACGGAAATACAAAAGAAAGCAGTTTACTGCAAGTGTGTCATGTCATGCTCCTAATATACATCAGTCCTAATCATCTTGGCACAGGTAAATCTAACCTTGAGAGAGAAACTTTGATGAATACGAAAATTATACCTTAGGTAAATTGTACTTTGAGGTACAGCTCAAGGTAAATTGTATTGCAGTAGAGTTCATTCTAATATCATCATTTTACTTGGAAGCAGGGGAGGATGTGTTGAATAAAATCAGTTTTTTTCTAAAGGGACGGCCAAATTTGCCGAAAAGAACTCCGAAATGTCCGAAAGTGCCGAAAAGCGTTGAAAGCGGGCAAAAGCGCCACGCGCCAGCCACAAGCTCCTGAAAATCACTGATGTCTGCAAGCTTAAAGTTATTGGCACGGTCAAGTTCTCTTTTTATTTTTTTCGAAACAACTATCGTTTCAGAGACTTTAAAAGGGGCCAAGTAACAGGTAAATAATGCAGAACCAAACAAGGTAAGAACCTTTCAAACTCGAAAACTGGACTTATATAAACTTCTTGAGCACAATAAGCAGTGATTATAATGTGACCGGCGTGATTGTCCAACGATGTTTTGGTAGGAAATGCAATCTCATAACCGAAATCTGCCACTTAAAGTGACTGGTACTACATTTCGGCTTCTTCGGACTTTCGCATTCAAAAAGTTTTTCCTTCCCAGTGGCAGGACCATTCCAAGAATTTATGTTTTAATTTACAATTCTTCAATAAGAGAAACCGGTGTTTTGTGCATGATGGGAATACCAATTTTTTTGAAGTACACTTGAAAGCTTTGGTTCGAATGCAAAGGATTCAACAAAGGTTACACTGTTGCAAAGTTAGAAAGACTTTGCGACACCCTGTACATATTTCTTCGAGGCCACTGCAACCTGCTATCCTCCGCTTATAAGTATCGAAAATGGGTGCGAACTCATGTTTTGTCAAAATATGCAGTTTGAACAAAGAAAATGGCCACAATTTTCCTTTGATCTTTTAAGACCTGAATCATTCTCATTTTATCGTGTTCAAACATGTAAGGGTACAGTCGAGTAGATTTCCTGCTTAATATAGTGTCCCTGCAGACGCGACAACGCTGGGACGTCAATAATTGCCTTGCGAGTTCCCGAGCTAGTGTTTTCCAGTGTTTTCTTTGCTTATTCTATGTTTTTAGGTGATTCGTTGCTGATAAAGAAGAAAAGGGTAAGTTAGAGAGTAGTTTCTGTTTTCTGAAAAGTTCTATCATCGCATATTCACAGATATCCACGTGGAAGCATTTCGCGTCAGCTTTTTGTCTATTTTTTTCTCATTTCCTTTTCTTCTGTCACTTCTTCTTTCGAACCTTCGTCTTATGAGGCGCTTCTTTGAACGCTAGTTGGCTTGTCTTGCAGCAACTTCGGCTTTCACCCGTAAGAAATGGCATTTTAATCAAGTACTTCATGTGATAAAGACAATAGGTCAATCGTAAAAACCCACTAGCGTTCAAAGAAGTACTTCACAAGAAGAAAGAGACATGAAGTAACAAAAAAATAGACAAGAAGCTGACGCGAACTGCTTCCAAGCGGATATCTGTGAATATGCGATGATAGAATTTCTCAAGAAACAGAAATACTCTCTAACTTACCCTTTTCTTCTTTATAAGCAACGAATCACCTAAAAACATAGAATAAGCAAAAAAAAACACTGGAAAACATTAGCTCGGGAACTCGCAAGGCAATTATTGACGCCCCAGCGTTGTCACGTCTGCAGGGACACTATATTAAGCAGGAAATCTACTCGACTGTACTTCAAACCGTCTCCCTGTCAAAACATGTCACCTCAGGCCCGAAGGACACAATTAGCAAAATTTTGTCTTAGCAAAAGTTCTGTTAGCAATAAAAAACTTTATGCACCGCTAAGACGTCATAGCGTGCTCTAAATAAACGTTAGTGTATATCAAGCTGGCAAAGGTAGATTTTACCTCAAGGTACGTTGATGAATACGAATCGCTCAAGGTAGAATTTACCTTGAGATAAAATTTACCTCAAGGTAAAATTTACCTCAGGTTTAATGATGAATACGGCCTCTGGATGCTTACCAGAAACTAATGTAATTCAAACGAGTAATCCGTTCGAAGAGCAAACATTAGCACCATAGATCGTGCATTCACATGATTCGCACGCATATCGTCAACATTTACATGTATTTTTTTTTACTATACTACATTATGGTACGCTATCACCGATGCGGTTATAACCAAGAATTCTTTTCCTCAAATTGACTGTGTGACTGTGTGACATCCTTTTTCGACCCAAAATGCCCACAATTACTTCACTCAATTTTTTCTGTCTGCAAAATATACAAATCAAATCCGCAACAACTCAGAATTTTTTTTTGCATAATCGCCTCTCGTCACATTGATCATGCCAGCACCCACACCTCCAAGGATCAGTGAGTTCACATAGTTCTCATCAGAACAGCTCAACACTTTTATCTGACAGGTAAGTTCAATTTCTCCGAAACTGAGATTGACTGGATACTGGTTGAGCCACTCAGCCAGAGTTTTTATAGGTCAGAAGGAAGTCGAAAAACTCCAACTATTAGACAAAAGTCAGAACTTGCCAACTTCTGCGAAAGACAACTAGATGATAATTTTTCAGAAAAAAATCTCTAACGCATTTTCGTACAAGGATCTCGCTGTAAATGTTCTGCACAATCTTATTGCCTCTTATTCTACAAGAAGTGCAGGGAAGTTGGTCATTTCATCCTTATTTCAAAGAATTTCCTACAGTTATTTTTTCTCCATTATGGATTAATCTCTTCACTTATTAATTTGCCTGTTCAACTTCCATTTTCAAACAGTAACAGGTGTTCGCAAATTCTAAGGATTCCCCGCTTTGTTCCAAGTTCTTACCATTAAAACGAAAACTACGAATACGCTATAACCACAGAAAGAATTAAGTCCACAACTATCGCAGGTAGTTAAAACGCTCTATTCTAGGAAAGGATTCCGAGGAGTGGGGATACATAGACAAATCTTCATGGAAAGGAACGTGTAAAACTGGAAAGCGGCAGTCTCCTATTGATCTAGACATTGGTAGGTACGAACTGTTTTATCGATTTTTCAGATATAAACTTTTCAGGTGATGCGATAGTGGTAAATTGGGAGCCGTTAAAGTTTCATAACTACGATGTTAGAGGTGAAATCGTAGCTGAAAATAATGGACATACAGGTAGGATAATAGTTTTACTCTTGTTCACCAAGGAGGCGAAGCGGCCAGATAGTAAAAATAGACGGAGAAAAAACCAGCAAGAATGAAAATAAATAAGTTGTGGGATCAATTGGAGTACATATTTTGCGCATGGCTGTTTCATTTCCAGAGCTCGTACAAGGTTTTCAATCTTGGGCTAAAAGGCCATACATTACCGGTATGCATCTCTAGTTACAAGTCTTGTTTTTCAGCTCGATTTCGCAAATTTCAGGTGGAAATTTGAAAGGGAAGTATTATCTACAACAATTTCATTTTCACTGGGATGGAAACGATCGCTTTGGAAGTGAACATACACTCAATGGATTACATTATCCTATGGAGGTAAATATCGGCAAAGTTTCTCAGGATCTGAATTTTCATTTGATAGAAGACAAAATCGACTTTGCTTTCCAAAAATTGCACATTACCGACGGGCACGATTCGTCAAATATGTTACCGAACTCCGCTGGAGTTCATCGGAATCCTCGTCGCACTGCCATTTCTTGGGTGGCGAGCAAGAGGAACGATAGCTGGTGGGTGTCAATAACTCGCGCATACTTCACCGTTAATTTTGTCCATCTGCACACAAAAATTTAGAACATTTCCATTTCATCTAGACAGGAGAATCGTATAGATTGTGTTTGCTTGGAAATGGGGTGTGAAAATCAGCTGAAATGTCAAAAAAAGGTCTCAACGGTGTAACTTCAAATATTTTAAGCTTATTCATGCAAGAACATCACCAAATTGCACATACCACCGGGATTTAAGCAAGACTTATTAAGGAAGTACGGTAAAGCATTAATCTTATATCTACTAATTTTTATAAGCTCGCAATTTGCGAACTGTGAAGGCAAATAGTGCATTGGCATCAGCGGCTGGCAATTGCTATCGTTCCTCTTGCACCACACCCCCATTTCTTGGCTCGAGTGGATAAATTGTGGTTCCAAAGAGACCTCAGCTTGGCGAAGCGCATCTCCTATTATGTAGAAGAATGATTTGGATACGGTAGGCGGTCAAGTTTCATGAATTTTTATCTACGGTAAGCTATACACTGTGCGATGAGTAAGAAGACTTAGTAACTACCGTAGCCGAAAAACCTAGATTAGTGAAATTCGATCACCTAATGTGCACCTACCGTATCCATATGGGCGCTTCTATATGTTAGAAGATGTACCTCGCCGAGCTGAACGAACGGTGCCTTTGAATCAGAATTTATCCACCTTGAACCAAGATACGGCGATGCGATGTGGATTTCGGTGAGATCCGGTAGAGTTTGGTGACTTTTCTGATGGATTGTGAGCGGTATTGTGTGCAAGCAGACCTCCAGTTTCAGACAATAGTGACAAACACTGAATGCTTTGTCCATCACTAAAACCTTTAGGTCCATTTCGTGCACATCCGAGAAGGACTAAACGAGACCACTGCACCTCAGTCTGTTGGTGGTATAGCTGTAGTAAGTATTTTCACTCACCAACAATTTCTGAAAAGTTATTTGAGCATATTCAGGTTGGTGTTCAGTTCCAACTTGCCGTACAAGGAGAAGCACTATTCGACTTGGAAAAGGTGACAGAAGCAACAAACTCGTCAGGTAGGGAAGTTTAGTCTTGAGAGGTGATGGAGGTAGTACATTAGGAAGGTGATTTGATTATGCAAAGAAATGACAGCAGATGCGAAATATTATGTTCTATTACAAAAGAAATCTTTTTTTTGAATAAATCAAAGAGGTTCTGTTGTCCTAGCAGACTTAAAGCACCGTTCGAAGAGCAAGCGCTACAAAATTAGAAAAAAAATTATTCGCTTGAAAATCGGAATCCTTGAAGAAAATCGTACGAACCTCAATATTCGTCATCATACATTAGATGCATAGTATGCTCATGAAAACATTTGCTGCATTTTTTTTCGCGCATAGATTTTGAGAAAAAAAGGTAGTTCAAATGGCAAACGCCCCAGCTTCTCCAACATATGTGAATGTGTACTGCAAGACTTAGTAAGTAACCCTGGAATTATATCTTTGAGTGCCCTGGTAATCGAGAAATACTAATAAATTCTCAGAAAAAAGTGGAATTGTTGCCTTTTTGGGCTATTTTTGTTTCTTAATTTTGAGCCGCGGAAAAAAAAGCAGATGCATCTGTTCATGGCACCATGTTTCGACTTTGAGACAATCAAGTTGGAGGTTCGTAAGATTTTCTGGAAAAAGATCCGATTTTCAAACTAGTTCAAAATCATAGTTACTGGCTCCGAACCTTACCTTACGAGTTAGGCATGGTTAGGTGGTGGTTATTTTGTAGAGCTTGCTTTGTTTTATCAAATAGTACCCTGAGTCTACTAGGAAAACATAAACAATCTGATTTTCTCAGGAAAGGGGGTTTATTTTTGGGATATGTAAAGTGTATGTACCTTATGCAAGCAAGCTTTATGCACACACGCTCTCAATGCTTTGAACTCTTCTCGAAAAAAAAGTGGGCCGTTAAAATGTAGACCTTGTAGCATCCAAAGGAGATGTACCCTCATACAGTCCCGGTTCGCTACTACCACACGACACAACCACATTTTTTCGATATAACGGTGAGATTTCTAATTTTTCATTTCCTCCTGCCTTCATTCACAGTTCTACTCAATGTCCAAAAAATAAAATTGCTCACCCCAGGTTCATTAACCACGCCACCTTGTAGCGAGGGAGTCATATGGTCGATACTGTCGCATCCGAACTTTGCTACAAACAATCAGGTAAAGTTTTTGCTCTCAAAAATATAAATTTCAAGCCTGTTCACCGGAAAAACTAGTCTCCCTCATTTAGATTCGCAGTTTACGAAGATACCTGAAAGAAGATGGATCACTTCTGATTGATAACTGGCGAAGTGTACAGCCTATGAATGGCAGGAAACTCTACCTCAACAAGGGCATTGTGTAAATAGATTTTCCTTATGCATACTGTGTGGCCTTAAAAAAATTTCTGTTTCAGAAAAGAAGAAGCGTTGGACGCAGCAGAAGTGTTAGAGATTACCTCAAAAGTGATTCCAGTTATATTAGTATTTGGCGTTGTGCTCTTCGCCGTACTGTGATATTCACGCTCGACAGGATCAGAACTTGAGAATGCATACCTTGAAAAATACTAAGAGTGGTATACAACAAAGTATCAAAAAATTGGCATCATGGTCCACACACATTATAATTGATCAAGGATAGACTGACAAGAACGATGCACAAGAACCAGGGCTCGGCACGAGCTGGCACTAGGGAAATTCCAGAACGAAATCCCCTTGACCCACCTAAACGTGAAAACCCTCAAAGAAAGAATCGACTAAAAAATGTCACAATTCTTGTGTCTTTTCGGCCACAATAACGAGATCCTCTTTGCTTTTTTGTCCCAAAAACGATATCCAGCTTGAACCGGTGCCAACAGTGGCCCAGCTCTGATAAGAACCATCCTATGCGAGTTCTGTGACACAATCTAAATAGGTTTGCAGTTCATGATGATCACTAAATTGCTCCTCAGGTTATGATAACGCCAGGTACCCTTGGGCCGTTTGATGTGTTCATTTCTGATTTTGCCTCTATTTGCTACAGTTGACAACTAAAGCGAGTTGCAAAGTTGGGCGATAAAAAAAAACAACATAAACATGATTTGAAGGAAACTAATAGAATCTTGTGGCAGGCATGCATACAAGCAGACTACCGAGACTGGACAAATCCTAAAATAGCTGGACCTGCTGTATCGCAAACAAAACCTTCTGAGATCCTGGTTTCAAAAAAAGATTTGCTGACTTTAAAGCTCCACGTCTGAGCAGTCGGTTTCCACCTCAGCAATCAGTGCAAACCGCTTCAAACTACTGACCACAGCTTAAAGTCACGAAGTTACCAAGCAGATGCGGGCTGGAATATTCTTGAATCAGTTTTTAAATTCTTTTTAACTTATCGAATTTCCATTTGCGTAGATCAGACCAATCGCTGCAATCGTTTAGCCGCAGTTTATAAGCACACATTGAAAATGGTTTTACAAGCGCTCGTTTTACCATTTGACATCCTTCAGATTACTCATTTATCAATTATTACTCATTCCATCTCATTCACTCATATTTATATACCCTGCCATCTTGCACAACTTTTCATTCCCAGTTTTTAATCTGCCGCTGAAATCATTATGTGGATGAAATTTCAATCTGTATGAAAAACCCAAGATTTGCTAGACCATGTAAGAAACGCTGACGTTCAGTTCACTTATAAACCAGTGAAGTTTTTCGAGATTCACAGGAGCTCAATCCAATTCGTAAGTTGTAGGAAGAAGGAAAAAATTCTCTCGTCACTTCCAATACTATTCAACATATATGGTAATAACAAGTGACAAAAAGGACCCCCCCTTTTCCCTGGTTCCACATAAGGCCTCTTTTTTCTCAAAACTAACTCAATAAATTAGCAACTTCCTTGTTCAATCACACAGTGAACAAGGTTTACGTACTACACAGAAAGAATTTCGCATAATTATGGCTTTTCTCTCAAGTAATTAGCGCCGAGCTTTCCAGCAACACTCGAGAAGAAAAGATTCGTATTTTGCAAGGAATATTTTGCTAATGCCAAAAACTCAAATATTATTGTAAAGTAACTCTTCCATATTTTCAATGCCAACCCAGTTTGTTGAACTCAATAACGTCCGTGTTATTGCAAATATCCAAGTTCTACATGTTTCGCAACATTTTATAGTCCAATGCAGCATCACAACAACAAAAATGTGAATGGGTAATAAAGAGCTTCACAATTGGAGGTACAGATATTCGGTACAAATTCGACTGAAACCGATCGAGAAACTGAGATACGTGATAAATATGATGGAGATTGCACAGGCTTGATCTGCCGTCGATAGATCGCCCATAGACGAAAGTGGTCATAATTTCGAAGAAGTGTAAGATTGCTATGGAATGTTCTAGTGTAGAGTAGGGATAAGACGAAGAAGTCAGCCTGAAGTCGCTTGCAGGAACATTGAGCTTACCACGCTGACCGAAGGTTACTGCAGGTTAACTATAGGTACTACAATGCACTGACGCAGCTGCGAGTTGCTATGTATATCCGGTATTAGTGAGATTGCATTCCGAAGAAAACTGGGAGTTCAGTGGCTAGTTGTTATTGATAGCAGAGCCTTACATAATCCGCGAGCTGCTGCAATTACCTAAATTCAAAATTAATATTAACAATAAAGTCAACTACAGTACACTCAATTATATTGTTCAAAAAAAAACAAAGTATTAGCTATTTCGTTGCCATGGAGCGTTTATTTGTGCGAGTTTACATAACTTTCCAAGAAGATCGTGGATGTCTGAAGCGAGGGACAGGAAAAAATGGCAACTTCTGTACTGGGCCCGCACGTCACGTGAGGACGGGCCACCTAAATATCTAAGTAAGTACATGACTTTCCAAAAAATATTTCTGCATTTCTTCCGCGATCAACAGCTCTTTCTTCTTGCAAGGAGACCGGTACAAAACATTATCCCTCTTTGCTTGGGCAGTAAATCCAACTTTGATAGTTATCGCGCCCCAGCGACGACAGAAACGATTGAGAGGCTCAGTTTGGTGACGTACTGGAACGAAGCTTACACGTGTGAAGGCAGCGCCCTAGCAAATCTGGAATAGGGATCTCACATGGAGAATAATTTTGAGTCCCTAATCATATCACGCTCAACTTATATGGTGTACTCGCGGTTGATGTTCATCTCCACGCAAACCCCAGCATGATATTAACGGACGTCTTACACCATATTCGCGTAACTTCACACCACAACTCATCAGTTTAAAGTGGGTCCTCGGGCGAAAGCATGCAAGCACGATGCGAGCCGGATTAGAGGAACGAATACCTCGATTAGGCACCGCCTACACAGCTGGTCCTTTCGCTCTACTATCGTATATCGTGTGAGGACCAGTAGTCCAGTAGTCAGTCGTGAGTGAGTCATTTGCGCTGCTCGAGCAGAGTTGGACTCCGAAAGTCAGTTTCTATGTGAATCCCCCACAAGCTCAGATTTGCCTGGGCACTGCTTTTGAAGGCAGTGGCTCCACAAAACTAAATTATTCAATACTAGCCGGCTTACCCGGCTCCGCCGTATGTTCCGAATAGAAAATTCCATTTCTAAACCGATCCGGACCAAACTTGGCGCACATACCCTTCGGGCCCCGGCGGGTGTCACAGTCCACTCTTCGTTATCGATCGATGTCGATTTTATCGATTTTTTGCAAAATTTGAGCTACGGGGCTGGGAGTTGGCAGAGGGGTGTAATCGAGCATGCTGATCACCCCCACGGGGATGATCAGCATGCTCGACTACCCCCCTGTGCCAAACCCCAGCTCCGTAGCCCAAACTCTGCAAAAAAATCGATAAAATCGATAAAAGCAATGCACGATTTTAAAAACTAATATTGTATTCGGAATCCCCATGCTCACTTACCCCCCTGTGCCAACTCCCAGCCCCGTAGCTCAAATTTTGCAAAAAATCGATAAATTCGATATCGATCGATGACGAAATGTAGCCTATGACACCCGCCGGGGCCCGTAGTGTATGTGTGTCAAGTTTGATCCCGATCGGTTCAGAAATGGAATTTTTTATTCGGAACATACGTACAGGCCCCGTAAAACCCAATTGACCACGCGTCGCTTTGAACACCAACGCGCAGCGCGGCTGGAAACGTGTGGTCCCGAAACGCTACAGGCTTTTTTCGAGCGACAATGAGCGCGCGTCCTTTCCACACATATTTTTTTAGACTTTTGAGGGGAGCTTTCGTCGAGATATACCTTGCATTGACGATAACAACATCAAAGTTAAAGAAAGATTTTTTGGAATATAGTGAACGCCAACAATCGTTCGCGACGACCGCTCGCTTACGCTGGTGTTCAAGGCACGGCGCGGGCAATTAGGTTTTACGGCGCCTATACAGACAGACAGACAGACAGACATACAGACACAGACAGACAGAACATTCAGCTTTATATATAAGATTCTGATGTGGTAGGTTGTTCCCGGCCCTTAACAGGAGCCATACCTTCGATAGTCTAGAGACAAAGCGTCAAAAGTGAAGGTTGTTTGTACATATGACCTCATAAAAGTGAAAGTTGTTTAAAGAAGATCAGAGAAGGTAAAGTGACGTAAAACAGATATAAAGAGCAAAAGTAACTGCTGAAAACCGGATAAAAACGTTGCAGTGAAGTTTGAAATCTTCTATTTGGCGGCTTTTCAAAATGCAAGTTTCTTTCCAAGAACCAACAATTAGCAACACGGGGGTAAAGCGAAGAAAAGCTAAGTTCTTGTTTGTGATTGTTTCAAAAAAACATGATTCGGAAGGAGTGGTTTTCAAGAAGAAGATAAACAAGAAAGAAATTAGGAAAGCAAAGTTTCTATTTTACTAAGTCGAGAAGAACGTCAAAGCCAAATATATTTTTTGGTGCGTCCTTTGAATTTTCACCCCCGCACTGACGTTCCTGTTTCCTGGGACGTTGTGTGTTGTTGCGCTTATTGTACTGAGCAACAATCGCCCAAGCTGGAGAAAAATCGTTGCGAAAGCACTGAAACAGAACAAGGTAAAGAAAAATGCTTTTTTTACGATTTTTCGCAAAAAATTCCACATCGAAGAGATAAGGGCTGGGTGGTTGTCCACATTGTAAACAAAAGTAAGGTCTATAAAATGCACGAAAAAAGCGCATGAAAAGAGTTAAACTAGGGGAAAAACAAGAGGCTTTCGAAAACAAGGTTTCTGCTGGATTTCTCGATCAAATCAAAAATGTGGTTTTGAGGCGTTGTCAGCATAACAATAGCTCTCTGCGCAAGATTTGAGCGCAGTTTCTCGTTTTTATTCAACTTCAACAGCTTTTTCAAACTTCTGAAACTCGATTTTGGTCAAATTAGAGGTTAACTGTGAAACGCTGTCCTGAATTCTGGCGAAAATTCCATAGAAACCTAACGTTAAAAAAGCTATGAAAACGCAAATTCTCGGTTTCGCTGAGATAACCTAAAGAACCTATTCCCTATATGCTTCAATAACATCCGTTCCGATACAGTCAGGATAATGACATCCGGGGCTTCGTCCCGCATGACTTCGGCTTTTTTTTCCAGGTAAAGGTTGTGTCTCTCATAGCCCTCAAAATGAAGGTTACCAGAGTACGCGGCTCTATTCCAGGATATGACAGAAGCAGCCCGCTTGCGGTAGAACATCGCACCTACCTCCCTCATGTTGATTTACCTCAAGTGGTTCGTGCTCTAACGGCGAACGGCCTGCCTCAGTTTGAAGTCAAAATCGCCCATAAGGTATCTCTATAGGATGAGGACTAAGTGTTTGATATCTTCGATGTCCGCTTTGTTTATGCTTTGGGAGCGATCCAGCCTAACTCCATGAGTTCTGTGCCGGGCATTGCTTAATAGTTTGGCTAGCGTCCATACAAGGTTATTCCATGTGCAAGAAGCTTTTGTAGCCTTATTTAAAAATTCCACGACGCAGAATACAACCTAACACTCACCTCCTTGTTCAGAGTCAAAAATATTATTGGATTGACACCGCTGTTGAACACGAGTACCACAGGAGTCACGACATAAGCCTCTGGAGTTTGGATTCCTGTGATCGGATAACCATAGAAAGTTATCCAAGTGATTGCGTAGGTAACAAACATCAAAACGAATTGAAAGAAACATCTGAAAACAAACTCGTAATTGCATCCGCAATTAGGTAAATGCAACCTGATTTCTCGCTTCAAAGCGGTGCTAGTGGAGCCACCGAATCTTCTGATGTAGATCATCAACTGGAAACAGAAGACTCTTGACATTTCAAATTTCGGAATATCTTTTGGATGTCAACTCGAAAACTTGAGGATATTTTCAGTAAAGCACCCTCCGTACTTCACCTTTCTCCCTATGATTTACAGGGTGCAGAAATTAACGATGCTTGTTTGTATGTGTACCAAAAGGGTCTAAGACGGGCTTGATGGAAACGAAGCATGCTGTTTTCGCTAACTACTATCATCGTGATGCGATAGTCCAACCAGATTTGGCTGTTTTGTCTAAAAAACCTTGAATTTTCTCAGCTGAAGTGTACTTCGTATGTAGGCGCACTTCACAAATTCATATCATTTTTTCTTTTCTCTCGCTTTGAGGATATGCATTGAAGTAGAACATGCCTTTTTCTCACAAGTTGTCAAGTACAAAAATCTGAAAATTATTTCGAAGAGGAAATTTCAGTAGGCAGCATATTGAATAACAACCGTATTTTGGCCCTCCTAAGTGCGTCTGAAAATCAAAAAATGCCTTCAAACTCGATTCAAAACCATATTCACAAATCGGTCATACTCTTCTACATGTCTTGTGTATAGAGAAGTGTTCCTTATTTATAGATTTTGCATGTGTAGGATCCCATAACTGATGAACAAGGTTGCTCGTACGCAGGTATTTTTGCAAAATACATTTCCTTATTTCTAAAAAAACCTTCAAATGCAACTAATCGGTTCATGCGGTTCAATCAGGGTCCGGCATGCGTTGGCTTGGAGGATTTTTGAAAACGAAGTCTTCCATGACGTCGCAAATTTTTACGGAGTTCCCACTGACGTAAAGAAAGATAAGAAAACAACAACAATTTGAAGCAAAAACAACAACAAAATAAACAGGACGCCCTGGCAGATAGGTGAGTGGAGCGCTATATCTATCCCTGCGTTTACCTACAATAATTTTGGCTCAAAAAAAGAGGAGAGGCAATGGTTCAATTTGCTCTCTTCACTCTATGAGATACCTTTGAGCGCTTCAATCGTTCAAGTTGAAAAGGTCCAAAACACTTTCCATTACTTATGCTCCGAACCAACCGAGCTGTGGTGATGATCTATAAACCAGCAAATTCGACAAACGGGTATTAGAACACACAAGTTTTTGGGATCTTTTTACATAATGTAGTTTGGAGTAATATTGTACACATAGCCCAAATTCGGTGCTATCTGATTGCTTGCGCGCTGCAAACAAGCCATCTGTTTATCTGAGCATCATTTCGAATTTGACGCGCTTGATGAGGAAGAACACACTAGAGCATGTCATCCAGGTACCAATTTGATGGTTAGCATATCTGAAAGTCATTTACATGTACGTTTAGCAAGTTTTACGACAATTCTCTGCTTTTACCGCAAAAACGAAGTTCAGTTTGACTCTAAACCATCTATGCCGTGCCCTGGGTTCATTCTTTCGCTAATCACTGAATTGATCAATAGCGAACGAGTGAACCAGGACGAACCGGTAGAACCGGGTAAGTCTGGTGCCTACCTTACTAACAACATTCGACGACACGCGACTCTGACGCTGAGAGAGGCTACGTAGATGGGCGGAATATAGAAGCGATCGGAGGTGGAAGGGAATAAGAAAGCTTAACTTTCCATACTAATTTAGCGTTGGGGAAGGGTGGAGGGGGGGGGGGAAGTAAGGCTGCCGACTGCTGGCACTGCCTCTAAGGATTCAGCGTTATGCTAAGGTTGACTGAGAGTACAGCGCTTGCGGCCGATCCTCTATGTTCTCTGGATGACAGCTTTAATGCAGCTAAATAATTCCATATCCTTACAGCTATGTATGAGATTCCGCAGTAGATAGTCACTGCAGCATCGAAAAAGATACCAAAATAAAATGAGTCGTTTCTTGTGTTCTCCACTTTAAGCATAGAATAGCCAAACCACTGCTGGTCAGGTGTAGTTCTAAATCTATGGTAGACGCTTTTGCAGATAATCACATGCATACCTGCAGCAATGAGTTATAAACTGAGGATAAACTGTAGTAGGTACACTGACGATAAGGACAATTACTACAGGGTTGGGGGAAAGTCTTTGAACAACTTTTTGGTGCTATCTTGTTTTAACATATCATATCATATCTTATCTTATCTTTGGTGTGAACGGTCTCTGAACTGTTCTATAAAAGCCCTCTAAAAATTGGATTGATATTCTTGATCCTACCGGAATTATGCCTTCTCAATCAGAGCGCGAGCTGATAGTGAAGATGCACACGGAAGGGAAGTCTCAAAAGGAGATCGCTCAAATACTCGGAATTCCGCGGAACACAGTGTGGTACAACCTGCGCCGTTTCATGGAGACAGGCAGCACCCAGGACCGTCCTAGGGACGGCAGACCGGCCACCGCGAACACTTCCGCGAACCGGAAGATCGTCCGAGAACGCATACGCCGTAATCCGCAGAGGAGCTTGAATGAGCTGGCATCAGACCTGTCCATTAGTCGTAGGACCATCTCGGACATTGTGAAAGTGAACTTTGGGATGAAGCTCTATCGGATGCAGAAAACTCACGCACTTCAAGACAATATGAAGTTGATCCGACTTCACAGGTGTCGCCGATTGCTGGAGCGCTTCTCCAAGGCACGCCACCGAACGATCCTTTTTTCCGACGAGAAAATTTTTACCGTGGAGCAGGTTTTCAATCGCCAAAATAGCAGGATCATATCTAAGTCGCTCGAAGAAGCAAACAGCAAAGGTCGCCTTGTGGAAAGTAAGCTCCATCCGGCTTCTGTGATGGTTTGGGCGGCAATCACTTCCGACGGCAAGACGCCGCTGATTTTTGTGCCTCAGGGCACCAAGGTAGACGCTGCTGCGTACTTAGATAGCATACTGAAGAAAGAGCTGCTACCCTGGACCAGGATCCATTTTGCCGGTAGAGATTGGTGCTTCCAGCAGGACAGCGCACCTGCTCACAAGTCGAAGGTTGTTCAGGCGTGGCTTCAAAGCAACGTTAAGAACTTCATCACTCCCGCAGAATGGCCTCCGTATTCGCCGGATCTTAATCCGCTTGACTACAGCGTATGGTCAGTTCTTGAGGCCAAAGCCTGCGCTCGTCCCCACAAGACTGTGGAGTCCCTGCGACGCGCTCTTCAGAATGCGTGGGAGGAAATCGACGTGGAGTACCTCCGTGCCACCGTGGATAGCTTTCCAAAACGTCTTCGAGCCTGCGTTCGCGCCAAAGGAGGGATCTTTGAAATGTAAAGTTGCTTTTATATAGTAGACTGCTTGATAAACAATATATATTTATTTCATGTAAATTTGTTGCCTAGTCTCGTGACTACGATAAAAATAACGTGTTCAAAGACTTTCCCCCAACCCTGTATATACAGAAGAGTCTTCTTTTTGGATGAGAATAAGTACCTTTTGGGAAAGCATATCACAACAAGTCTAAATTAGATAATATCAAGAAAAGCTGAGATCGTCACATCAAAAGTCGTGCTGTTTTTCAAACATACACATTATATTCTTTGATAGAGCGCGAGCACCCCATCTGACATTATTGGCCCTCGGTGGATGTATCCTATGGGGTCGTTCAGACCGCGCCGGAATCCGCCCAAACCCGCCCGAATACGTCCAAATCCGCCCAAACCCGCCCACATACGTCCGAATCCGCCCGAACCCGCCTAAACGCCGGAACTGCCAAAGCGCAGCGGATACGCGGTAAATTGGCATATTGGAGCACGCGTGGAATACTGCGCACATAGTGTATACATCTTAGTCACAGGTAGCTCGACGTTACATATTGATCTTCTTTTGCAACTACCCCGATATCAGAAGGATCAATCACACGCGTGCTCCAATATGCCGATTTGCATGCAACCTGTTGCGTTTGGCAGTTCAGGCGGGTTCGGACGTATTTTGGCGGGTTTGGGCATTTGGACGTATTCGGGCGGGTTTGGGCGGGTTCCGGCGCGGTCTGTACGATCCCTATGATGCAATCGGGTTGGCGGCTGGAAGGCGGGGCTCCGAGGCTTCATCAAAACTAAAGAATAGTCAGAGAGCACGCTCGCGGAAGAGACGCAGACTGCGTCACGGGTGTGAGCGGTGGCCTTCCGGCCAACAGTTCCGCTGGATTGAAGGGTAGCATCAGAGCAAATGTACAGGGCATTCGAGAAATCGTGACGATGGCCCAACCGCGCGCAACATGCACGCACTCCCAATTCTTGGTTTCTATCGCTACTCAAATAGTTTTTCTGCTTACATATGATAGTATTCAGGCACTGGAAATGACTTAGCTTAGCGTTGAGGTGTTGCTTGTTTGTATGAGTGTTTTATCCTTCTGTGTGCGGAAAGACCGCAGTCAACTCGTCGTCACGAAATGAACCATACCATGATTAATGCAGGTCGACCTGCAGTTACCGTGCAATTGGAGCGAAAATTGAACTCAAACACTCGCCGTTGACTTCCGCAGGAGATCCGCCCACAAAATGGCTGTTCGCACCAAAATCCGGTGATCAGGTGCATCGGCAGAAGTCATCATGGCTTTGTCCCGATTTTAGTGCGATTTTGTCTCGAAGAGCTTCACGCGCGCTTATGATCGCGAAGGTTTGGGAGGTTGCGAAATAATTGTCTGATTGTGATCTCTCAACTGATTGGTTTGTGCTGGTAATTGCTCTTCTCTTCGCTGATTTTGACTCCTGCTTCTCCTTCTTTTACATTGTATATAATCGCTCATTGTCATCTTTCAAGATTTTCTACAGCTGGTAAGCTGGTTATGTCTACAAATAACTGTCATCTTTCTCATAGATGGGGAAGTCTATTTATTCACTTTCTCATCATTTTCATCCGGTACATAGCGCATTTGCCAAGCTGCATTCACTGCTTCTCTTACTACATTCATTTACTTTATCTCGGACTGGACCGCTGTTAAAAGTAGCTACTTCTTATGAACTCTGTGCCTTTGTTGAAAACCGAAGGTGGGCGTTTTTCTTAATTTCTAGGATGTCTTGCCCTTTTTCACTGAGCAGATCTACAGAATGTAATCAAATTGAGCTTGAGTTATTATTTATAGCAAGCTTTATAAAATAGCTTGGAAATATATGGAAAAAGTTTTATCTCAACTAACTTAGAAGACAAACCATGAAACATTGACTATTAAAAGATTTCCACAAAGCTTGCTCATGCATATGCTCCCCATGTAAGACATTCATATAAGGTTGACGCAAAAGTTCTCACGTAATACAAGGAATTGAACAGTTTTCCAAATTTCAAAAGTTAAATTATGGCTTCACATTCAAAAAATAAGGGTCTGTAAAAATTTACACCAGCCTTAATCCACAGCCTAACTCTGAAAATTTGTGAATGTTCCAGAACTGAAAAAAACACTATTTTTTCAAAAAAAAATTACGTCTATGCACACATCAAATACTCAAATGTAACATAGCTATACAATACCGCGCATAATTCGTCAAAAAAGTCGCTGGAGTTCGCTGCAGTGTGCTGTGCTGGAGTGCGCTGCAGTGCGCCGGAGTGCGGCAGAGTGCGCCGCACTCCAATGAAGTCCGCCGGAGTGCGGCAGAGTGCACCGCACTCCAATGAAGTCCGCCGGAGAGCAGCGGAGTGCGCCGCACATCACTAAAGTCTTCGGAATCCGGGTCGCATCGCCATATCTCGCTTCAAAATGGACGAATCCTGAATCCAAGGACACCGTTCGATTCAGCTCGGAGACGCATCATCCATCATATAGAAGTGCCACAATCTACAGGGTACGATAGGTATACGGTAGACAAAAAGTTTTCGCTTAATTTCGCAGATTTTTGTTTGGTTGGATTGTTCAGTGTGCTGATAACAATATTGCCATTGATTTCTCGCTGATTACACATAGTAGATATACTGTAGGAGTATTAATTAGTCACTCTGATCGAATTTGTTCTAAAATCAGCTCTTAAGGTACAGTACCGCTCACAGAATGTGCAAACTTTCCGTGAACCTTGCGAAATTTCCGGAATATAATAGAACATGAAAAGCCGTTTACAAAAGACTAGACTATAAGCTACGCGATCGGGACATTATGATGTCTCCCGCAGGTCATCCCGATTTTTACCGGAATATGTCGGTCGGGACATCTATATTGTCGCGCTTTTTTTCCCGACACCGATTTCCTGAGTCGCGCAGACTTTCCTGAGTAGACCTCGTTTTTTCCAGCGCGAGTCAACTGCGAATGTCCGAAAGTAAGAAACGCCTAAATTGTGCAAAACGGCTGACAAAAGGCAATCTAAAAGCCAATTGATCAGCAATAACCAAGGTCAAGCAAGAGTTGCGGCACACAACTGCCGGATACAACCCCTTCCCCCTTGCTGAGGGTCTCAACACTCTTCAGTCTTATCGTTTACCTATCGTTAAGCATACATGAAGCCGTACGAAACATAATGCATGACAAATTTGTAAGTGACATAATAACCTAACCTATTATGATTGGAAGGGTAAAAATTGTTCTTGTAGGAGACGTCGTAAAGCTATCGTCAAATGGAATTTCGTTTTTTTTAAAGAAGGCAAAAAGATGACCTACCCTCTGATTTAACAGGAATGGCGGCTGGAGAACGGGGCTGCTTGGGCTCTGCACCTCTTTCGTGCTCTCTATTTACTTTCCCTTCATAAGCGTGGGAAAGACGGAGCTCCAATCCTTTACTGCGATCGCGAAGGAAATGCAGTCAGGCGAGGCGGCTGCGAGAACGTGTGCCCCATACACCAGCCGCCAATCCTGTTGAATCAGAGGGTATGTGGAACCCTGCCCATCGCCGCTACTACCATCTTCTTAGGGCCGCATGCACTAACATCCCCGCGGGAAGGGGATCGCAGCTTAAAAGCTTTATATTTCGAAACTCCAGATACCTGGATTTCACGTTGTATACTCATCCGTAAGTATTCCTACTACCCTTCACTGTGAACATGTTGAAGAGGAGCGAGAAGCTGTACGAACCGCATTTTCCAGCTTTTGTATGATCCCTG